TCATGCTCTCTTATTTGTCAGTGTTTGATTTTGCAAAAGGACACATTTCTGTTTAGCCAAAGAGATGCCTTGTACTTGTGTGGACAGTGCAGATAACTTCTGCTATGTTTGTGGTGAAATGACTTTTGCATCACAAAAGTGCAGTTTAACCACTATGGTTAAGAAAGCCTATCCCGTTTATTTTGGCTGCAAAATTGGAGATCAGGACAAGAGGTGGGCCCCAACACTTGTGCAACAAATCTTCGCCAGTGGTTGAACAGGAAAAGGAAATCTATGCCTTTTGCAGTGCCAGTGATTTGGAGAGAGCCAACAGATCATACCAGCAATTGTTACTTCTGCATGGTGCCTCCAGTTGGGAAAGGTATGTCAAAGAAGAAAAAGTGGACTGTGCATTATCCAAACATTCCATCAGCTATACGCCCAGTACCCCACGGAGAAGGACTGCCGGTTCCTGATGCACCAGAATCATTCTCACTTGAGTCAGACAAGGAAGAGAAAGAGGATGAAACTTCTGGTCCTGAACGATCAGTCTCACAGGACCCACATTTTCTCCTATCCTCCTCCTCTAAACCACACCTCATAACACAAGGTGAACTGAATGACCTTGTCAAGGATTTGGAACTACCCAAGAGTAAGGCAGAGCTGTTGGGCTCCAGACTACAGCAGTGGAATCTCCTGACAGGTGATGTTAGGGTTTCCATGTTCCGTGACCGTCAAAAGGATCTTGTCCCATTCTTCTTCATGGAAGGTAATATTATAGCCTGCAACAACATTGATGGTGTGATGGCAGCCCTCAACATCGTTCACGATCCAGATGAATGGAGACTGTTCATTGATTCATCGAAGACGAGTCTTAAAGCTGTTTTACTGCATAATAGCAATGTTTTGCCATCAATTCCAGTTGGTCATGCAGTCCATATGAAGGAAACCTATGACAACATGAAAGAACTTTTGAGGTGCATAAACTATGACCAACATCAGTGGCAGCTTTGTGGTGATTTGAAGGTTGTTGCTCTCTTGCTTGGTCTGCAGACTGGATACACAAAGTACTGCTGTTTTCTCTGCAGATGGGATAGTCGTGCAAGAGATTCCCACTACATCAAGAAAGATTGGCCACTCGGACAGTCATTGGAGCCTGGGAGGAAAAGTGTTCAGCATCCACCACTTGTTGAATCAAGGAAGATTTTGTTACCACCCTTACACATCAAGCTGGGTCTGATGAAGAACTTTGTCAAGGCCATTGACAAAACGCAAGCAGCTTTCAAGTACCTCTGTAGAAAATTTCCAAGGTTAAGTGAAGCTAAGATAAAGGAAGGGGTCTTTGTTGGTCCTCAGATTCGTGAACTACTTCGAGATGATGCATTTGACCATGCACTGCGTGGAAAGGAAAAGACGGCATGGAAAGCCTTCCAGTTAGTGGCAATAAATTTTCTCAGAAACAAGAAGGCAGACAACTACAGGTTGTTGGTGGAAAACCTCCTCAAGGCATACAAAAGCCTTGGTTGCAACATGTCACTAAAGATACATTTTTTGCACTCTCATCTAGATTTTTTCCCACCGAACTGCGGAGCAGTGAGCAATGAGCACGGCGAGCGATTTCACCAGGACATTGCAACAATGGAGAAACGCTATCAGGGAAAATGGAGCCCATCAATGCTTGCAGACTATTCCTGGACAGTGACAAGAGATGCTCCATTTAATGGATACAAGAGACAAGCCACTGAATAGGACTAAACTATGTACATAATAATTTTTTGCCTTTTGTTTCATAATAAATTTTATTTATATAACACTTTTAAAGTGTTACATAAACAGGACAGGTGAAATATTACCATGTAAAGCAACCATAAACACATGAAAAGACCTAGGTTTACAATTTATGATTAAAACTCTACTATCTACACAATATACAGAGACATAAAATGTAAAAACTTAAATATCTTAGAAACAGTAGCCAATCAGTTGTTTTAATTGTCATATTTGAATTCAGCACATCAAAATACATAATAAATAGCACATTTTATCTCTGAAGCAGACAACTTCTCAAAAATTGTAGACCAGTGTTATTAAGGGGGAAAAAAAGAGATGTTACAGCTTTCTCTGAAACATCAGGCATGTACCACTCTTGCAGGCAAGATTCTGGAAAGAGACCAGAATCATGTGCTGTACTGTGATACTGAAATAGGAAATTTGATTTTATGCCATATTAATGTCTTTGATGTAGCCATGTTAATGTTTTTATATAGAACCATTGTAATGTTATTTATATAGCACCTTTGGAGTACATTAGGCTTTGCAGACATGCTAACGAATGGGTATAATGGCCAAATGCAAAGCAAAATTGTATGCTGAAATGAAGAGGAAAACCCCTACCCCAAAACCAGAAAATACAAGTGTGGCCTTTACAAAAATCTATTTGTCCTCACCCTGAAACTCCTCGGAGTACAGTTACTAAAACCCCAGAAGAGCAATATTACAGTAAAAGCTGTGTTCTCCAGCACTTTATCAACCGGAAAGCTCTATTAACTGGCATTTCTGATATTCCCCAATACAAATCTTCAATCTAGTAACCAGGATTAATAT